AACATGGTGTGGTATGATATGTAGAGCTGTGTACCTAAACAAATTTTAGGTACAGGTACAGGTACAGGTACACAGGTTTAGGTACAGGTCCGGACCTGAACCTGTACCTGAACAATTCGACCAATTTATATGCTCTTCTGAACTCCTTCAATAACAAAAAAACATTAATAAACTTGATAGTTAAGGTTTATTCTTTGTTTATGGTGAATGCTCAGATGAAATATAGGCAAAACTAAAGATGTTTTTGTTTTCATGAACACACTGTCCTTACACAGGGACCGATTTGAGGTCACAAATAGGCATAAAATTGGTGTGAAATTGTTTAGGTACAGTACCAGTACTGAGGAATTAGGTATTTTGGACCTGTACATGTACTAAATCAATTTTTCCGGTACAGTATCGGTACTGCGTACCGGTACACAGCTCTAATGGTATGGCAAATAATAATAGACTCTTCATTTTCATATCTTCACCTTCTTTTCCTGAATTCCTTTTGGCACTCTATGACATTAGTATCGTTTTTCAATATTTGCAACATACAACATATATGCGCTCATTTTGACTGCTTACCAAATCAATATATTTTTTATTATTTTTTTCAAAGAAAGGCATGATCTTTTTCAAGTAATCATCTGTTTTTTTTATTATCTTTTGACCTTTGGTTCATATTTAGTAGACAGGTAATGGTATGATGATCATCATGATTTGTACATGTAGTTCCTAATAAATTATATATTGTAGTTATGCCCCGCAAATTGAGTTGTACCCCATGTTTCCTCATGATCATGAGACCACAGACTTTTGAACCTGGCTTCGTAACCGCCCTATACTACTGCTCCTGTCAGCATAACCATTCATCTATCTCCAACTATAGCCTGGTATCCAGTCTGATCGTGGTCGGGGCAGCAAGAGCTCAGGTGTCCCGCCCGCCTCACATAGGTTGCCCGGTGTGTATTTCACGAGAGATTAATTAGCTCTCCACGTGTTGGGGGAAACCAAATCCCTATTAAAAAGCATACTGTCTCTGATTAGCGGAACACTCCTACCGGGACCAGACCTTTTGTACTGGGTGGGGGATTGCTATTAGAGCCCCCGAAGACACAGCCTGCCAGAACAACCCAACACCCCCAACCACGTAAGACTGGATACCAGGCTACTCCAACTAGTGTCTTTTCTTTCTACCCAGAGCTTGAGGTAAATCTGGAAAAGGATGGCGATAACACAGGCTCGGACAGCGATGAGACCGTCTCAGACTCGGCCAAGAAACCGATCGTCGACCTCAGCGTGGCAGCCAACGTGGTGTCAAAGTTCACGTCCTTTATCGGCGTGGACAGCGAGCGGGGAGAGCCGATAGAGGGCGCGATGATACGGCGTAACATCCCTCGACATGCCCCTCTGATGATGAGGAGTTGTGCCTATAGCATGTCACCAGCAGGTAGATTGTTTATCAAACAATGTAGTTAGGCCAAACCAATTTAATTTGTTGCTTCTCTGATTTTTTCAGAAAAAATCAGGAGCGACAGGGCGAAAAAAAATTTAAAAAAAAAACAAGCCAAGGCCGGAATGATAGCCGGAAATGTTACAATATGAGCCATCAAGTGAATATACCAGTCTGGTTTATAATTAAAACAATAGATTTTGAACTTTTAATGAAACAAAATTGCATTGTTACATTGAAAAACTTACAATGTAAGAACTAGAAAGATAAGAACTTTTTTCAACTGTTGGGGACAAAACCTGTTTTTCATTAAGCATTTTGCAGTTAATTTAGAACCCCACAAATTTTTTTTTTGCAAATCAGAAAAAAAATGGAATGGGCGAATCAGACAAGCAACAAGTTAAATTGGCCTGGCCTTATGACCACTTTTGGCTGATTCTATTTAGTCTCATCCAAATCCACTCACAAGGGGATCGAGGAAAAGTTGTCTTCTTCTGTAGGCAAGAGGTTTTCGTATACCAAAAACATGGTGACACACGACGGATACATGACGTCAACATTTGGTCAGACATGCCAGGCACTTTATATCGTCCACCGTCACTGTTCTAAGTGAAGGCTGGACTGCCTTGGAAGAATGATTGTCCTCCTTATACAAACAGACTGTCAATGAAAACATACATTGCCATGGCGACAGTGGTTGCTGTCAGGGGTTTTTGTTTGCATGGCACTGTCATCATTTCATGATTTTGAGGAAGACTTGGTACCTATAGACAGATACAGTGCACTCCTTCCCTGAGTGTATAGTGAACGAGCCCTGGCATCACAGAAAGTAGGACATCCGGGGCAGAGAGGTCTTCCCCAGGCCAAAAGGCTTCCAGGAATGTGGGCATTCCGTTCCTGCGGACAAAATGCCTGTACCATTCCTAGAATTCTTGTGGATTGCACACATACATGTATGCAATGTACAGGTACATGTACCTATTAACTGATTTTAGCGGTACTGTACCGGTACACAGAACTCGGCCCTAATCTCTTTATTGTTGTTCCCCACATGTATGTTGTTTGCTTGTCTTCTCCAGTTGCATTTTGCGCTGGCCCCATGGCGATGGCAGATTCATACGATGAGTGTGATTTCGGAGGATCGGAGGATATGGAGGACCACATCGACGCTTTGGGGCTTGAAGGACAGTTTAGTGAAGAGAGTAAAGAAGGCATCCAAAAAAGTAAAGAGAGTGAAGAAGGCATTGCCTCACGAATCGTTGGAGGCGTTAAGGGCCTGTTTTCGTCAGGTGAGCGAGTGATGGTTGAATCTGTGGTTGAAGTGTGGCTCCTGATGTTTCAGGTGCATCAGGGGGCTTTTTCGCTGGTGTCCGTAGGCTGGTAGGAGGTGGTCGAGGACCAAGAGCTGCAGGCATGCCCATGGGTAAGTTGGAATTTTCCATTTAGGCCACAGCAAGTAATTTTTATGGATGACATCCACGCGCATAAATTTTCGCCTGATTTTGAAAAAAAAAACATGGTCAACATGCCGAAAATGGACAAAGCGAAAGATGTCTGTTGCCATGCCGGAAGTTGGATGGCAGATAACTATGAAGAGAGGAGACAAGAAAAGGCTCCAATTTAATGTTTTGTTTCTTACTTTGATTCGGAGATATGTGATGCTGGCTGTGTATGTGACGTGCCTACTGAATCAAAACCATTTGTAGAATGATTGAGTCAAAATTATAGATTGTAGGAACCTTGTTTTTTTCGGCCCGCCCGCCCTCTCACATTACATTTGGAATCTGCGGAGGATGTCATCCATAAAATTTACTTGCTGTGGCCTTAGTAGTGATGCGGTCACAATCATTGGAGGCCTTGGCACAATTTTGATGCCAAAAACGCTACGACAGAGCCATCCACCAACAATGTTCTACATATTTATAAGGTCATACAACAAGACAGATGAATTTATTTATTTTTTTATTACATGTATTTCGTCTCAAGATGGCTTGGTAGCCCCGTTAGCTGTTTCCAAGGAGGCATCAGCATATTACAAGTACTACTGTTTGTTTTGTTACATTCAGTCAAGAAGGTCTACCTCAGTCTATGATTCAGTCAAACAAAGGAGAACAACATACAGTATACACAACAACAACAATTAAAACAAGGAGAAGTCGTAGACATCATCCCTCCATGAAATAGCTTGTTATTTTGTAATCTTTTGGTGTATTTCAATAGAGATATTATGAGTCAAACTTTGTTTTTATCAGCAGAATGATTTGTGGTGGCACTTTGTATTTTATCAAGCTGTCATGTGCAGGCGTTTACTGTCTTGTTACCATGGTTTGTTTACTTTGATGGCCAGCAGGTCATTTGCCTTAGCCTGGGTACCATCCCCAGTAGTATATTCGCAAACTCTATAACTGTTATAGAGTTTGCGAATATACTACTGGGGATGGTACCCAGGCTACACTTGCCTGTACATGTAGGTCAATGACCAGGCAAATGACCTGCAGACCAGACAAACAAGATTTATTTTCCTGCAGACTGTCTAGGGGTAAAAATAGATAGGGCTGCCTGGGTCTGACCTGCCAGCTGGAGGTATAAACAAAAACACTCTGTCCCAACTTTTGGGTCAAACAGACCATCCTATTATGAAGTAGGGGTGAAAAAGTGAAAATCCTTTTAAATTAAGCAATAAAAATATGCGACAACCTGCTAATGCACTCCAAAACACAAAGAGACTCAACAACTACCCACATACCAAAAATCATACCAAACCATCCCCCAGATTTTCCAAACATTCAACACAAAAAGTCCAACATTAAACATTTTGTAAATATCAAACGCAAACAGCTAGGGGACCCAAATTTAAATCACTAAACCATGGTAATAACAACTACATGCTACCTTAATATCGCACAAACAGTCCATAACGCGAAAACAACAGAATAAAAAAATTAAACTGCAGTACCAAGGTCAATCACCAGGGGCTCAAAGTCAACCTACACAATCTCCAAGGCCCCATCCATCAATCTGCCAAATATCGTACAGTTCCTTCTCACCGATCTTCAGATATCAGACCAAACATGAAACGGAGTAAAAACAGTACCCCCATTTTCATGGAGGGTAACAATGTGTCAAAACAAAGAGTCATAGTCCAAAATCTCCAAACCGTTTCATGGTGAAAACACAGACTCGTACAAATTTGGATGTCCATTGACTATACCCAGGTTATTAAGTTTATGATAGAATGGCAACTGCACAGTAAAAGTGACCAAACCCTAAGCTGAAGGGGTTTTTTTGTCCGTAATCAATCAAGTAAAATTGTATGTGATGAAAGAGGGAAAAGGAGGCATTGCCTTGCGAATTGGAGGGACCGAATAAAGGGCCTATGCTGAGGTGAGCCGTACGTACGTGTGCAGTTATTTCAGGTGCAGGAATTAGGCTGAGCGGTGGTGGTGGTGGGCCCAGTCCGAACGCAGGGAGGTCACAGATGAAAAGGGCCGCCATGAAAGGTACGTTTGGCTTTTCCAAGCTGAAGGTCATCATTCCTTGCATACTGTAAATCACATTTTTTTTTGTGGTACGTTTTTTATTGGCGGTTTTGCAGTTGATAGTGTACCGTGAAATTATCATTATTATTATCATATCAAAATAATTTACTGACTTTCTTTTTGCTGCACCTACTGCTGCAGTGAATGTATTTAGTTTCTGACTGCAAGCTTTTGATACTGCAAATATGAAATGATTTACAGTATGTACAAAATGTGTAACCCTAAAAGCTGTAGAAATATGTAAAACAAAATTATTTTAAAGCTACAATATGAGGACCTTGACCAAAGTATATGTAAGGCCTGGAACTTCATTTCTTAGACCTGTGAATATATTCAACAGGTTGGTAAGTAATTTACACTTTTAACACAACCACAGTGTTTTGTGTACCCTGGAAGCCAGAGTACAGTGGGTCGCGGCCGGTTTCTCCTTGGCTCGCCAACCAACTTTCCCCGCGAAACACGGAGAAAGTTGGTTGGCGAGCCGAGGAGAAATCAGCCATGACCCGCTATACTCTGGCTTCCAGGGTAGTGTTTTTTTAATCTCCAAGCAGATTTTTCGGTTGGGTGGCAAAAGACCGTATCCATTGGTCATCCTGTATCCATTGGTCGTCCTGTAGCGGGCCGGCCGCTTGGAGCGCAGATTTAGTGAAGCTACCTTCGGACATGGTCTGCTCTGTTAATTCTTACTCAAACATATTCACATACATGTACTACTACAATGTAGTATACGGTGACAGGAGCAGAGGAAAGTATGAAATTGCAACATTATGTAACCCAACACCAGTCCCCATGGTGAGAGACGTCAACAAATCATTTCATTGGTCAGGTCATAGGTTTGGAGAAGACAAAGAGGAGAGGAAGAAACTGAGTAAAAACAATATGTTTTCCTTCGAATTCGGTAAACATAATAATAGCTCCATAGTCAAATTGATGGTCAAAGCCACATGTACATGTCCCTGTAATCACATGAAAATTGTGCTCCTGAATTTCACAGGGCGCCCCATAATGAAGAAGAAGGCAAAGTCTACACCTAGAACATCATCAGGAAAGCCAGCAAGAGCTCTCAAATCTCGAGCACCCGCTTATGATGATGATGATGATGATGAAGAGGATTCAGAAGAAGAAGACAGCGCCACTCCCTCAACTGTCATCCCGCTACAGATGGCTGAAGGATCATGGGAACTGGATGGTCACTTGGCGGCTGTTCTAGGACTGAAGTTGGACAGACTAAAAAAGGAGTGTCCTGTACAGGTAATATGTGTGGTCATCTGTGTAGAACTCTGCTGTGTCAGTGTCTGGTTAGTCCCTTTGAGTGACCCTTTTCAAGTTGTTGGTAGATTTTCTTTCGGGAAAAATATGAAGTGACAGGCCTGTAATATATTAGATCCCCAAATGCTACAATTACATGATGTACAAATCGGTATAACAGCCATGAAGTCCAAATATATAGCTACAGTTTGTACCAATGTAAACCAGTGGTACCCTCACTATTTACATGTAGCTGCAGTTGCATGTTGCCATCCACACACAATTACACAAACATCTACATGTGCAAGGCTTTTTGCCAGAGAAATGAATGTTAACAACAATTGCACAACATTTGATTGTGATTTAATGCACACATGTATGTAGATAGGAAGGTAACTATAATTTCATGATCTGTACAGTAAACTTCTTGTTAGTTATTTAATAATACTATTAGACAAAAATAAGTTACATTTCATGTTTCCTCCCACAGGACAAGGCAGTGTGGGCCACAGTGCTGGCTCTGGTCTGGCTCCATTCCAAAATGGCGGACAAGAAGGTTGAATGGCAGATGCTGGCTCGCAAGGGGACGGCCTGGCTGAAGTCCCACCAGCAGGGGTGGTCCGCTGACGATGTCGTGGGGAAGGCGTGCAGTATTCTGGGGGCAAAGGTCGAGCCCAGTGCCATCCTTGGCTGAACAATTCCATCTTGTGATTAGGCCACACCAATTTAATTTGTTGCTTCTCGGATCGCCCTGTCCATTTTTTTCTGATTTACAAAAAAAGAATTTGGGGGGGGGGGGGTTCTAAATTAACTGCAAAATGCTCAATGAAAGACATATTTTGGCCCCAACAGTTGAAAAAAGTCATTTTTTTCCTAGTTCTTAAGTTTTTCAATGTAGCAATGCAATTTTGTTTCATTAAAAGTTCAAAATCTATTGTTTTAATTAGTATAAACCAGCCTGGTATGTTCACTTCATGGCTCATATTGTAACATTTCAAGCTATCATGGGGTGCCTTGGCCTGTTTTTTTTTTTGCCGTCGCTCCTGATTTTTTCTGAAAAAATCCGAGAAACAACAAATCAAATTGGTGTGGCCTTATCATGAAAGTTCATCCGTGTTGTATACCCTGGATGCCAGACTCGTAAAGGTCGCATTTAAAAAGTTTATGGACGGCGGACCTAGTGGGCTTGTGTAACCACTACATGTATGACAGCGTGGCCTGGAGGGTTTCCGCATCTGAGGCACAGCGGAGTGCTGGGAGGGTGTGAGTTGGGGACAGGCTAACCCAGACCCCGAGTGTGCTTGCGTAAACTCTCCGAATGCCGCCTTATTATGAGTCTGGCCCCCAAGGTAATGTTGTAGTGTTGGTTAGAGTGCTGTCACAGTAGTAATCATAGTAAAATGTTGAACTTTATTCCGTCACATCAAGTATAGAGAGATCAAATTTTCAACAACCACTGTCGCCTTTCTGTCAGCAACCACTTTTCACTGTCGCCATCCACATTGAAACACCAAATCTAGACCATACCATCTAATACACTAGACAAAGTTAGAATACTGGACACTGAACATGTGTAAAGAAGTATAAGTAGGCCATATACCTGATCAGGGCACTCCAGCCATCACTAAACAGAGACGGTGGACGCTATAAACTCCCTGGCACGTTTGATCAACTGCCGACGTCACAAATACTTCAAGTCACGTGTGAATAAGATACGTGTCTGTAACTGTAACTCTCTGGTATAAAGTACTAGTAGTATCTAGTATAAAGGAGGCCATATATATCAGGGCACTTCAGCCATCACTAAACAGAGATGTTGGACGATATATACATGTAAATTTCCTGGCGCGTTTGATCAATTGCTGACATCACGTATCCATAAAGTCACGTGTGAATAAGGTCACGTATCTGTAACAGTTACTGTAACTCTCGCAAGTTTATGTTCGGAAGTGATATTGATCATTACTATGCCAGTAATTATCCTGATGAAGGCGACAGTGGTCGTTGAAAATTTATGTGTCACCCTGATTGTTCACAACTGGTTCAACACAACTTTTTTTCTGATTTGTTTTTAATAGAATTTATCGCTGTTGATTACATTTGCAAAAGCAGTAACTGGCAAGCCTTCTTTGCAGTGTATCTAGAAGTGAATAGTTACTAATAGGTGTCTTTTCTGCTTTTTAAAGATTACTGCTATGATTACAGTTGAAAAAGCAGTAAGGCCACACAGACTAAATTTTATGGGTGACATCTGCGTGCACATTAATTTTCGCCTGTTCTCAAAAAAAAAAAAAAGATCAGGTCCACCGAGGTTCTGGCCTGGTTCTAGGCCTGGGTAGTCAATGGTAGTTAGCGACAATACGGAGCCGGGCATCCAGGCTACAGAAGCTCCACGACTCAAGAACTCAGTACATACACAGTGACGATTCATACATTCCGCAAAAAGCCAGCATGTGCCAGCTTGTATGTCGCTAAGTACTGCCACAAATTTACAATACCAGCTTTGTATTCCTGTGGTTTAGCAGCATTTTAATTTTTGGCTGGATATTTTTTATTTGCCCGCGCACACTAGTTTGGGGGTCTTCAGAGGATGTCATCCATAGAATTAAGTCGATGTGGCCTACTAATCACAAAATGCTGAAGGTGTTGCAGAAAGATTTATTTTACATCAAAAGGAAGTATGAAGACAGTAGTAGTAAGGGGAAAGTTTGGATATGTTTCACCACAGTACAGGAGTATTAGTGTCCTGTAGCTTTTTTATATGGTCATATGAGGACTGATTATAACAAAATGATGATTGTGTTGGAGAAAGAATGATTTCACATGATGATGTTAAGATATGAAGACAATACAGTTAATATGTACTAAAGGACAAAGTTTGGATATTTCTTAGCACGTAGAGCTGTAGGATAGATGTTTTATGGTACAAATTTTGTATTAACTTTAAATTTACAAGTTCTGTTTCTGATATCTGCATGGTAAATTGTAGTACATGTATAACACCTAATTTAGCTCGTTTTTTCTGTGTTCTTAATAGTAATATTGTTAATTACAAAGACAGCTGTGAGTTTAGATTTCAGAGAAGGCTGGGAAGTTCGAGAAATCTTATAATAGAAGTTTATTTTTTGCAAATTCATGCCAGAAGGCTAATTGCATCATACAATGTATACAACATAAATGTGAAATATTAGCTACTTTTCTATTCAGCACAATTGACCATTCTATTCAGAACATTCAAGTGACTATTCTGTTCAGAATACAAATTAAACTTTTTGGGTTTACATGTACGTAGTGTACAAAAATTTGCTACTGCAAATTAAGGTGCTGATTAGTATTGGAAGAAACAGCAGATGATTGCATCAGTTAGATTCAATTTTGATTCTTATATTTTCACCTGGTACTTAAAGGCTTCACTTTAAGTACACACTTCTTTCTCTGCTTAGCACTCAGAACATAAGAGAAAGAGTGTGGGAAGGTCAAACACACAGCACTACCAGCGGGCTAGCTATATATATAGCCCCCTGCTGTAGTGCCCTGCACAACTGTGTGTCGCCCAAGGGCTACAGAAATGGACATGGGCACCAAACCCTATGCTCTGCATAGAGCACAGGAGATCTTTAGTGGCCTCCCCATTAAAAACAGGCCTTCTCAATAATGTCTTGAACACCTGGATATCTTAAATGTGCATAAGGGACATAAAGTTGCTGAATTTTGCTACATTTGATTAAGTAAATTACTTTAATTTAACACCATTTTTTGTAT